GGGGGCTGCCCGACCCGGCGCAGGTGCCTCCCTCCCGGAGTGAACCCCCCCCGACCCGTCTCTCTCCAGCTCCACCCACTTTGGCCCGGAACCGGCCCCCAAAGGCTAAAAATATGGCCCGGAGGCTCCTGAGCGGAACCGGACCGCGCTCAGCGGGGCACGAGGCACCGGCGACAGCGCTCCGGGCCCCCGCACCGCCGGCTGCCGGCGGCCTCTCTCCGCGGCGCAGGCAAGTGGGGGCCCGCGGGCGGGGCGGCGGGGGCTGGTCGCCCGAAGTTACCTTCCTGTCCGGCCTGTACCCTCCCTGCCCAGGGGACCCCTTCAGCAGCGATCACTGCTGGCTTCCCGGGGGTCCCCCCAATGCCGTCCAAGCGGAGGGTGCAAGTTAGCTCCTGCGGCATCGGGACTAGCGGGGAAGGCGCAGAGGACTCGGTCTGTGTGAGCGGCATCAGCTGCTCGGTTTTCAATCCGTCCCGTATTTCCTAACGGGAGCGGAGCCGTGCCCGGCGAGTGCCAGCCTGGTCCCCGAGGGCAGGGAGAAAGGCTTTCCTGTGGGTCTTTAAATCAAAATAGCTGTTGATTCCTCTGGAACTAGCACCACGTGGTCCAGGAGCCAGGACGCCCACCTGCTGTGCGGCTGTGTCTTCCTGGATCAGCTCTTGGGGGGGGGCTGGTTACATCAGGAGGGTGTGTGGTGACCTCTGGAGCCAGAGCGGGGAAGTTTGTTATCTCGCGTGTTTTTTATAGCATCAGCCTGGGGGGGAGAGATCTGCTCTCCTGAGGAGGAGGAGGCAAGACCAGCCTCAGAGAACGGTCTGTGTCTCAGCCAAGAGAGTCCGATCCCCGCGGGGTGAGGACCCACACTGAGCGCTGGGACTTGCTGCTCTGGAGCCGGCTGTTCTGGGGAGTCGGGCAAATAGAGGTTCCCGGGGACCAGCTCTTGGGATCCCCTTGGAGCGTTTGGTGGAAAGATCCCCAAGGGGGTTTGGCTGTTGGAGCTGAATACGGTGCCCCTCCTGCCAGGTGTGTGTGGCGGCCAGGATGAAGCTGAAGAAGCAGGTGACGGTGTGTGGGGCCGCGGTCTTCTGCGTGGCCGTCTTCTCGCTCTACCTCATGCTGGACCGAGTGCAGCACGACCCCGCCCGGCACCAGCATGGCGGGAACTTCCCCCGGGTGAGTCAGGCCTGGCGGCTGAGGTCTTCACGCACAAACCGTCAGGGCTCAGCGCCCAGCTGGAGGGTCATGTCAGCCCAGGACAAGAACACTGCTTCCCCCTGGGCACCTTTTCTTTCTTTTTTTTCTTTTTTTTAAAAATATTTTTATTGGACATAAGACACTGGGGGGTAAGGGAGGGTAGGGGTGTGTCAAGGGGCGGGGGGGAAAAAAAAGGACACTTATGTAATACCCTTTGTAATACTTTAAGCGAAAAATAAAAAAATATTAAAAAAAAAATATTTTTATTGATTTCAGAGAGGGAGAGAGAGACAGAAACATCAATGATGAGAGAGTCATCAATTAGCTGCCTCCTGGCACGGCCCCTCCAGGGATCAAGCCCGCAACCCAGGCATGTGCCCTTGACCGGAATCGAACCCGGGACCCTTCAGTCCACAGGCTGATGCTCTATCCATTGAGCCAAACCAGCCAGGGCTGGGCAGCTTTTCTTTAACCCGGAGCTAAAAACAATGATGCCACGGAAGGAGGAGGGGGAAATGGCATGATAGACTGCTGCTCTGTCTTGGGAATTCTTTTTTTTTAAATATATTTTTATTGATTTTAGAGAGGAAGGGAGAAAGAGAGAGAGAAACTTCAATGATGAGAGAGAATCACTGATCGGCTGCCTCCTGCACACCCCACACTGAGGATGGAGCCCACAACCTGGACATGTGCCCTTGACCGGAATCAAACCCGGGACCTTTCAATCCGCAGGCCAACGCTCTATCCACTAAGCCAAACCGGCCAGGGCTGTCTCGGGAATTCTTGGCAGATATTGCTAATGGATTGCACCGTGCGTTCCCAGGGGGCCTGGATGCAGTCCTTGTGGGCACACAGGCGGCGCCGGGTGGAGAACAGGCATGTGAGGTGAAACCTCGGCCTCCCGGAGCTGGAGGGCAAGGGTGCTCCCAGCTCATGGGGATCGCAGTCCTCCAGAGTGATTCCCGCTTCTTCCCTTATCTGGTTCTACCTTCCTCGGGGCAGGCCAGGGTCACAGTCTGGCCTCAGGTGCAGGCCGCAGGCCGAGAGCACCCCGGAGGCGGCAGGAAGGAGCGGAGGGTGACTGCTCTCTGGTTTTCTGGCAGAGCCAAATTTCTGTGCTGCAGAACCGCATCGAGCAGCTGGAGCAGCTGCTGGAGGAGAACCACGAGATCATCAGCCACATCAAGGAGTCCGTGCTGGAGCTGACGGCCAACGCCGAGGGCGCGCCCGCCCTGCTGCCCTACTACACGGCCAACGGCTCCTGGGTGGTGCCGCCGGAGCCCCGGCCCAGCTTCTTCTCCGTCTCCCCCCAAGACTGCCAGTTTGCTCTGGGGGGCCGGGGCCCGAAGCCGGGGCTGCAGGTAAGCGCCTGAGCCGGCGGGACCCCCTCGGGAGCCCGGGAGGCGCCACTGAGCCGGGTCCTGCTCGGCAGATGCTGACGGTGTCGGAGGAGCTGCCCTTTGACAACGTGGACGGCGGGGTGTGGAAGCAGGGCTTCGACATCTCCTACGGCCCCCACGACTGGGACGCCGAGGACCTGCAGGTGTTCGTGGTGCCGCACTCGCACAACGACCCAGGTGAGGGCCAGAGCGCCCCGCAGCCCGGCGTGGGGTGGGCTTGCTTTTTTTAAAATATATTTTTATGGCCCTGGCTGGTTTGGCTCAGTGGATAGAGCATCGGCCTGCAGACTGAAGGGTCCCGGGTTTGATTCCGGTCAAGGGCACATGCCTGGGTTGCGGGCTCGATCCCCAGTAGGGGCTGTGCAGGAGGCAGCCGATCGGTGATTTTCTCTCATCATTAATGTTTCTCTCTCTCTCCCTCTCCCTTCCTCTCTGAAATCAATAGGAAATATATAAATATACATATACTTTTAAAAAATATTTTATTGATTTTTTACAGAGAGGAAGGGAGAGGGATAGAGAGCTAGAAACATCGATGAGAGAGAAACATCGACCAGCTGCCTCCTGCACACTTCCTACTGGGGATGTGCCCGCAACCAAGGTACATGCCCTTGACCAGAATCAAACCTGGGACCTTTTAGTCCGCAGGCCGACGCTCTATCCGCTGAGCCAAACCGGTTAGGGCTGTATACATTTTTTTTATTGAGCAGATAAATCAATAGGAAATATATATAAATATAAATATATATACAGTGGGGCCTTGACTTACGAGTGTCCCGACTAACGAGTTTTTCGAGATACGAGCTGTCTCTCGGCAGATTTTTTGCTTTGAGTTGCGAGCTAAAATTCGGGTTACGAGCCAGCTTCAGATACCCCACCGCTAGTTGGCACAGCGAAAGTCACAGTGAACGCCACAACATCAGCCCAGCATCACGTGTCTCACTCGTTCACTTTAAGATTTGACATACGAGTAATTTGAGTTACGAGCTCCGTCACGGAACGAATTAAACTCGTAAGTCAAGGCCCCACTGTGTGTGTGTGTGTGTATTTCAGAGAGGAAGGAAGAGAGAGAGAGAGAGAGAGAGATAGAAACATCAGTGATGAGAGAGAATAATGGATTGGCTGCCTCCTGCACGCCCCACACTGGGGATCAAGCCCGCAACCCCGGGGGCAGATGCCCTGACCGGGAACCGAACCGTGGCCTCCTGGTTCATAGGTCGACGCTGAACCACTGAGCCACACCGGCCAGGCTCAGCGGGCCCTCTGGTGGCCAGGGTAAGGGAGAGTCCGTCGAAGCAGGTGTGGCGTCCTCAGGGGACCCTGTGTTGCTCCCCAGGCTGGATCAAGACCTTTGACAAGTACTACGCGGAGCAGACCCAGCACATCCTCAACAGCATGGTGACCAAGCTGCAGGAGGACCCCCGGCGCCGCTTCCTCTGGGCCGAAGTCTCCTTCTTCGCCAAGTGGTGGGACAACATCAGCGCCCAGAAGAGAGCGGCCGTCCGGAGGCCAGTGGCTGTCGGGAGGCGAGGGAGGGCCGTCCTCTGGGCCTGGGATGGGTGTGCAGGTCGCGCCCGAAGCTGTGGTCCCACTGTGGCGGGAGAGGCGAGGGGACGCGTGCAGGGGTGAGGCGTGATGGCGGAGGGGCTGAGAATGAGACAGGCAGGAACTGGGTCGAGGGTCACTGTGTTAGGAGAGATCGGAGTTCTGTGAGCCCAGAGAAGAGAAAGCCAGGAGCCCTGACCGGTCTGGCTCAGTGGATAGAGCGTCGGCCTGCGGACTCAAGGGTCCCAGGTTCGATTCCGGTCAAGGGCATGTACCTGGGTTGCGGGCACATCCCCAGTAGGGAGTGTGCAGGAGGCAGCTGGTCGATGTTTCTCTCTCATCGATGTTTCTAACTCTCTATCCCTCTCCCTTCCTCTGTAAAAATATCAATAAAATATATTTAAAAAAAAAAGAAAGAGAAAGCCAGGAGCCGGGCCCCTGGACGCTCAGGTGGCGTCCGCAGGTCAGCAGGACCAGGACAGCAGGGAAGTGGGCTGGCGGGAAAGGAGAGCCCGTGTCCGTCCCCTTGGTCCCAGGTTCGCGTGAGCTGGCCCAGTGAGGCCATGCGCCCGGGTCCCAGCACCTTCTGTTCGGCACGACTGGCCAGATGCCCCCCCTCCCCGCCCCCATGCTGAGTGTGAGGCCTTCCCTGCAGGCTGGTGGGCACCGGGCAGCTGGAGATGGCCACCGGAGGCTGGGTCATGCCCGACGAGGCCAACTCCCATTACTTTGCGCTGATCGACCAGCTCATCGAGGGACACCAGTGGCTGGAGAAGAACCTCGGTGAGGCAGGCTCAGGAGAGGGCGTCTGCCCCAGGGCTGGGCCCAGAGGGTAGCTGGGGGCTGTCGGGTGCAGGGTTGGCAGATGGTGGTACCGTTGTGGGCTGATTCCCCCATCCGGGGCCCGGTGTGAGGGCAGGAAGGGAGCTGGAGCTGGGACCGTCCCGGGAGGCCCGGCGGGGGTGTTCAGGGCTCTGGCTTCCATCCCCCTGCCCAGGTGTGACCCCGCGCTCGGGCTGGGCCGTGGACCCCTTCGGACACAGCCCCACCATGGCTTACCTGCTGCGCCGTGCCAACCTGACCAGCATGCTGATTCAGAGGGTGCACTATGCCATCAAGAAGCACTTCGCTGCCACCCACAGCCTGGAGTTCATGTGGAGGCAGAGCTGGGGTAAGGCCAGGTAGGGTGGAGGGGGTGGCCGTGGTCGCCCTCCCCGGGGAAGGGCAGGGGCCTCAGAGCAGGTCACCGGAAGCGCTCTGTCCCTCGGGGCAGGCGGAGATCACCTTGGCCTGGTCTCGGTGGGATCTGCTGTTCATCCCGAGTGTGTGGGCGTGCCATCCCTGGGGGCACTGCGACCTTCTGAGCCTTCCCTGCGTCCTGACCCTTGACCTGCACGTCCTCTGCAGCCTTAAGTCTAGGTCAGGGGTGGGCAACCTTTCTGTGAGTGCGCGCCAAAACCAGCAAAATCTCTGACTCAAAATTCTTCTGCGTGCCAGCCCTAATTTTTTGAGAACATGTTACGCCTACTTGATATCTCTTAAGGTGTACGCATGTGAAGAACCTTGAAGAAATAATAAAATTGATTCGAGCGACAAAAACGCAGTATATGATGATGAAAAATACATTTATTTTTTAATGTATACATGTTATGCAAAATTATTTATTTATCTAAGATGCACCTACACTGAATTTATCTGAAAAATAAAAAAGTCGATATTAAGAAAAAAATTGTAAATGGAAGTTTATAAGAGAGGGTTTTGCGTGCCAGCGAAAGTTACTGGCGTGCCGTGTTTGGCACGCGTGCCAGGGGTTGCCCCACCCCCTGCCCTTAAACTCCCTCTCTACTAAAGGGGGGGGGAATTTACGGGGGGAAACGAAGATATTTTTCCATTGATTTTTCAGAGAGAGTGGAAGAGAGAGAGAAAGACAGAGCAACATCAATGTGAGAGAAACACATCAATTGGTTGCCTCCTGCATGTTCTCCGATCAGGGCCCTTGACCGGAATCGAACCCAGGACCCTCGGTCCCCAGGCCGACGCTCTAGCCCCTGAGCCACACCGGCCGGGGCCGAGCCTCCCCTTCCTCGGGCTGCCTGCAGCTGGGGCGGATCGCTGCCCTGCGGGTGCCCCTGTGCCCAGCCCCCGACACGGCCGGCTGGGGGCTGACTGCCCGCCGTGTCCTCTTCAGACTCGGACTCCAGCACAGACATCTTCTGCCACATGATGCCCTTCTACAGCTACGACGTCCCCCACACCTGCGGCCCGGACCCCAAGATCTGCTGCCAGTTCGATTTCAAACGCCTGCCTGGCGGGCGCATCAACTGCCCGTGGAAGGTGCCTCCTCGCGCCATCACAGAGGCCAATGTGGCCGAGAGGTACGGCCGCCCGCCCGGGCTCTGCTGCTGGGGCTTCGTGAGAGGGGAGCGGGCTCGGGGGGTGCGTCAGGCCTGCGGCCACTTTGGTGGCAGCTCCCTGACAAGTCTCCCTGGAAAACGGAGTGGTTCTAAGGAACCGCCTTTCCCACATGGTTTTACTTCCTAAATGAGCACGTTTTCCCGCCCTCACAAACCGTCAGAGCCGCATGGCTGACCCACGGGTGAATAATTCTCAGATCAGTACAGTTCCTTCCAACCTTCAGCCTGATGTCACCTCGGGCATCTTGCCTTGGCTCAGTCAGCCGGACCTGCCGTGTCCCAGGAACCCCGAACCCCCCTCAGGGGTGCTCGTGGTCCACCCACCAGCCTCCCGCCCCTGAGAAAGCAGGCTCGTTCCCTTTGAGACAATCCCCCGGGGGCCCCTAGAATGTTGCTGTGGCTGAAATCGGCCCCCTGGGAAAGTGCAGGTTAAGAGGGATCAGAAACAGCGATTTAGCCAGAACCAGTCTGGCCTTAAGAATACAACAGGTCGAACTGGTTTCCAGGGTGCAGCCTCCAATTTCCATGATGTCCGAGAGGTAAGAGTACATGTGACCGGAGGGAGGGAGAGCGGTCTTTTGTTTCCAGATCCAGAAACCTAACTGCGGCTCCCAGACAAACACCAAGGCTCAGGCTGCGGAGGCAGGACTTTTCTTTTCTTTCCTTTTTTAATTAAAAATTTTATTATTATTTTTAATCCTCACCAGAGGATATTGTTCCATTGTTTTTTAGAAAGAGTGGAAGAGAGAGGGAGAGACAGAGAGAAACAGCGATGTGAGAGAGACACATCTATGGGTTGCCTCCTGCACGTGCCCTGACCAGGGCCCGGGCCGGGGAGGAGCCTGCAACCAAGGTACATGCCCTTGACCGGAATCGAACCCGGGACCCTGCAGTCCATAGGCCGACGCTCTATCCACTGAGCCACACCGGCCAGGGTGAGGCAGGATTTTCCTTAGCGCAGCCTCCGTGGGCCACGGGTGCCAGCCCCGGTGTGCAGCGAGCCAGTCACGGACTAACTTCATTTTCTCCTTTGAAAGGCTTCCTCGGTGGGTAAACGAGGGGGAAATGGTATTTGAGGAGTCCTCTCCTGAAAACAAAATAGAAAAGTAGAAGCTGACCAGCACGGTTAAGTAGCTTAGTAGCTGGTTGAACTGCGACACCAAAATATGATATACCATATATTTTTTTAAAATATATCTTTATTGATTTCAGAGAGGAAGGGAGAGGGAGAGAGATAGAAACATCAATGATAAGAGAGAATCATTGATCAGCTGCCTCCTGCACGTCCCCCACTGGGGATCAAGCCCACAACCCAGGCATGTGCCCTTGAATGGAATCGAACCTGGGACCCTTCAGTCCACAGGCTGATGCTCTATTCACTGAGCCAAACCAGGTAGGGCTACCATATTTTTGTAGGTTGATCTGAAAAGAGAAAGGGGGCCCGGCCAGGTGTGGCTCAGCGGTTGAGCATTGACCCAGGAACCACGAGGTCACCGGTTCAATCCCTGGTCAGGGCACATGCCTGGGTTGCCAGCTCCATCCATCCCAGTGTGGGGCGTGCAGGAGGCAGCCAATCAGTGATTCTCTCTCATCATTGATGTTTCTATCTCTCTCTCCCTCTCCCTTCCTCTCTCTCTAAAATCAACAAAAATATATTTTTTTCAAAAAGAGAGAGAAAGGGGCTTTGATGATATGCTACAGGTACCTGCTTGTTTATTGATTTTACCAGTAACTTGGATGAAAAAGAAAATAAATGTTTATATATAGTTCCTACCAGGTGCCAGGCAGGGTTCCCCTGTTCTAGCAAATATTAGTTCATTCACTTTATTTTATTTCTCATAATGGTGTGATGGTGGATACTGATATTATCCTCATTTCATAGGAACTGAGGCCCAGAGAGGTTAAGGCACTTGCTCAGGGTCACTCAGCGAGTGCAGGCGGAGCTGGGGTTGGCACGGTCCAGCCCGAGTGCAGGCCCCTCCCTCCGGGGCTGCCTCACTCACTGGTGGACAGGAGGAAGCCTGAGTGTCAGGGTCTGGATCCCAGCAGTTTGGGATGTGAGTCGAATCTGACGCCTAAGGTTTATTAGGCACAGGTGTAAGTTTCCACCCCGAGCTTCAGAAAACAATAGAAACTTCAGGATGAGGAGAAAAGACCTCGAGAGCCACACGCATGGAGAAACGGCAACTGACGTTAGCACCTCGGGGGCTGCCAGCCACACCCACGTAGACACACGCCGCTCCCGTGGGAGCGCCAGCCGGAACAGGGCGGGTTCTGTCTTCCCTGTGGGCCGGCCCCCCCTCATCCCCTGTATCCATCACTGGGTCCCTGCACCGAGGAGGGTGGGCACATCTTTGGTATGTTTTAATATACATATGTATTTTATTGATTTCAGAAAGGAAGGGAGAGGGAGAGAGAGAGAAACATCCATGATGAGAGAATCATGTATCGGCCGCCTCCTGCACGCCCCCCACTGGGGATCGAGCCCGAAACCCGGGCATGTGCCCTTAACCGGGAATTGAACTCGGGACCCTTCAGTCCGCAGGCCAACGCTCTATCCACTGAGCCAAACCGGCCAGGGCCTTTGGTATGTTTGAAGGAGACTCACAGGGAAGGAGAACTGGTCTGCTGAGTGTGGGGCCCGGGGATGGAAGCCCTACCTGCAGCCCAGCACGGCAGCTCTCCACCCGTCAGCACTGTGGAGAGCGTGGGCTCCAGGACGGGGTCCCACCCCCAGGCGGGCACCTGCAGGCCCGGGACTCCCCACCCCCACGGGGGTGCTGCAGAGGGGCCGCGGGGGCTCTGCTCAGCATCCTGTCACCGCCCCCCAGGGCAGCCCTGCTCCTGGACCAGTACCGCAAGAAGTCCCGGCTCTTCCGGAGCAACGTGCTGCTGGTGCCGCTGGGCGACGACTTCCGCTACGACAAGCCCCAGGAGTGGGACGCCCAGTTCTTCAACTACCAGCGGCTCTTCGACTTCCTCAACAGCAAGCCCGACCTCCACGTGCAGGTGCGGCCGCCGCCCTTCCTGGGGCTCCCGACCTTCCCAGGGCTTCCCTTTTCTTTTCTTTCTTTTCTTTTTTTTAAAGGGTTATTTTTTGTTTATTCATTTGTCATGTTTCTGTCAATCCTCACCCGGGGATATTTTTCCATTGATTTTTAGAGAGAGTGGAAGGGGGAGGGAGAGAGAGAGAAACATCGATGTGAGAGAGACACATCGATTGGTTGCCTCCTGCACGACCAGGGCCGGGGCCGGGGAACCTGCCACCGAGGTACGTGCACTTGATCAGAACCGAACCTGGGACCCTTCAGTCCATGGGCCGACATGCTACCCACTGAGCCAAACCGGCCAGGGCCATACTTTATTTTTATAAAATATATTTTTATTGATTTTAGAGAGGAAAGGAGATGGAGAGAGATAGAAATATCAATGATGAGAGAGAATCATTGATCAGCTGCATCCTGCACGCCCCCTACTGGGGATCGAGCCCACAACCCAGGCATGTGCCCTTAACCGGAATCAAACCCGGCTAGGGCTATTTTTTATTTTTTAAGTAAACTTTTTATTGTTGATAGTTGATATTTATAATAGATATTTCCCCTTTCCCCCAATCCTCCCAGCCCCTACTCATCCCCCCAGGTCTTCCCTACCCTATTGCTGTGTCCATGGGCTGTGCCTATAAGTATATGAGTTCTTTGGTTTATCTCTCCTCGTCCCCCAGCCCCACATCGAGCTGTGTCAGTCTGCTCCATGCCTCCCTCTTCGGCTCTTATTTTGTTGGTCATTCATTCTGTTCATTAGATTCCACCGATAAGGGAGATCATGTAATATTTGTCTTTCCCATCTGCCAGAATTCTCTCCCAGGCCCCCCGCGGGGGGCGTGAGGCCGGAGGGTGGCAGGGACAGGGACCGCGTAGGCGGGATCCCGGCCGCAGCCCCGGGCCCCCGGTTCCCAGGGAGGCTCTGGAATGAGGGGACCGGGTTTTCGGGGTCCCCACAGGCCCAGTTTGGTACCCTCTCCGATTACTTTTGACGCCCTGTACAAGAGGACGGGGGTGGAGCCGGGGCCCAGCCCCCCGGGTTTTCCCCGGCTGGCGGGAGATTCTTCTCCTACGCGGACCGGGAGATACTTTACTGGGACCGCTTCTACTCTTCCCGGTGTTCTAAAAAAGCCTGTACCGATGGGCCCGCGTCCCCGGAGGGGGCCCCTGCGGGGAAACCCGGGGGGCGGCCCCCGGTTGGGAGGCGGGGGCGGGGGGGGGGGCAGGGGGGGGGCCCTGGGGGTCCTGCGGGCGGGCTGGGCGGCTGACTCTCTCTCCGCACAGCGGGGCGGAGATTCTCTACAGCCTGGCAGCCGCTCACGCCCGCCGCTCCGGCCTGGCCAGCCAGTACCCGCTCTCGAACTTCGCCCTCCTGACCGAGGCCCGGCGCACCCTGGGGCTCTTCCAGCACCACGACGCCATCACGGGCACTGCCAAGGAGGCCGTGGTGGTGGACTACGGGGTCAGGTGCGGCCCTGCCCACCCTCCCAGAGAGAGGCCGTGCGGGGCGGCGCGGGCAGCGTGGGCAGCGTGTGTGTGTGTGGGCGTCTCCCCCACGGTCCCTCTCCTGTCCCCCAGGCTGCTGCGCTCCCTCGTCAGCCTGAAGCAGGTCATCATCAACGCGGCCCACTACCTGGTGCTGGGGGACAAGGAGGCCTACCGCTTTGACCCCGAGGCGCCCTTCCTCCACATGGTGAGCCCCGTCCCACCCCAGGAGCTGGGGGGTGGGGTCTTCCTCCTCTTCCCCTGCCCTGTCCTGGGGTGCGGTCTGTGCCCAGTGCAGCTGCTGGTCCCCACCCAGGACACGGGTGGGGCGGCGGCAGGCCGAGTCCCGTGATGGCTCTTCCCTTCCCACTGTGTTTTTTTTTTAATACATTTTTTTATTGATTTCAGAGAGGAAGGGAGAGGGAGGGAGAGAAATATCAGTGATGAGGGAGAATCATGGATCAGCTGCCTCCTGCACGCCCCCTACTGGGACCATATGCCCTTGACTGGAATCGAACCTGGGACCCTTCAGTCCCCAGGCTGATGCTCTATTCACTGACCTGAACCAGCTAGGGCTCCTTCCCACTTTCTTTGTTTGTTTGTTTAAATAAGAACGCCATTTATTTTATTTTTTAATACATTTTTATTGATCTCAGAGGGGAAGGGAGAGGGAGAGAGAGAGAGAAACATCCATGATGAGAGAGAATCATGGATCGGCTGCCTCCTGCACGCCCCCTTCTGGGGATGGAGCCCGCAACCCGGGCACGTGCCCTTGACCGGGAATCGAACCTGGGACCCTTCAGTCCACAGGCCGGCGCTCTATCCATTGAGCCACACCAGCTAGGGCCTTCCCACCGTTTAATTCCAGGATGACACCCGCTTAAACCACGACGCCCTGCCAGAGCCCACGCTGATCCAGCTGGACGCCTCGCCCAGGTGAGCCGGACCAGCCGCACCCCAGGCAGAGCCGCTCCCCGATCCCCCCAATCCTCCCCCACACACACCTGCCACAGGCGCAGAGGCCTCCTGGCGAGCTCACCCTCCCCCCGCAGGTACGTGGTGCTCTTCAACCCGCTGGACCAGGAGCGGCTCAGCGTGGTGTCCCTGCTCGTCAGCTCGCCCCGGGTGCGCGTCCTGTCGGACGAGGGCCAGCCCCTGGCCGTGCAGGTCAGCGCGTACTGGAGGTCCGCCACCGACATGGTCCCTGACGTCTACCAGGTGAGCCTCCGCCCACCCTGGGCCTCTGTCCCTCGGCACCAGCCTCCCGCCCTCCCCCGTGCTCCCCGGGTTGGGGACCGGGGTCCGGGGGGAGGGGTTCCCCAGAGGACAGTCGCTGGTGAGGTTTCTGTCCTTGAAGGGAAGGCGAGGTCTGGGATAGTCCTGGTGAGAGTCAGCATGGCATTCTATTGCCTGCCCTTCATTCTTTCAGCAAACCTGTATTTTTTTATTTGTTTTAAATAATATTTACTTTATTATTTTTATTGATTTCAGAGAGGGAGAGAGAGATAGAAACATCAATGATGAGAGAGAATCATGGACGGGCTGCCTCCTGCACGCCCCCTACAGGGGATCGAGCCTGCAACCCGGGCATGTGCCCTGACCGGGAATCGAACCCGGGACCCTTCAGTTCGCAGGCTGAGGCTCTATCCACTGAGCAACACCGGCCAGGGCTCAGCAGACCTTAGCGTGGGGCTGCCATAGTCTCCCAGTGTCATTTGAGATTCATAGCAGTCTGACCAGGGGCCGGTAATACCCCCTCCCCTTCCCCAGGAGGGGACGGAGGCCCGGCGGGTGCAGGGACTTGCTCAGGCCCAGGACCCGCATCCCAGGCCTGTGCCCAGAACTGACGCCGGGCTGTGCCCTGTGCCGTAGGTGTCTGTGCCCGTCCGCCTGCCGGCGCTGGGCCTGGGCGTCCTGCAGCTGCAGCCCGGCCTGGACGCCCACCGCACCCTGCCCTCCTCGGTGCGCGTCTACCTGCAGGGCCGGAAGCTGGCCGCCAGCCGGCACGAGGGCCTTCCCCTCCGCGTCATGGAATCCGGCCCCGGCGGACTTCGCCCTCAGCAACAGCTACATGGAGGTCTGGGTCCTCAGCCTTAGCGGTCTTCATCAAGGTAAGGTCCGG